CATCTATAAATAATTTAAACAGGAATGCAGTTTTGGCATGCAAGAATGCATGTGGGAGAGCCGTTTCTGGGTTCAGATGGCACTGGGTGCTTGAGAGAGGGACACGCGTCGTGAGATCTGTGTTCTTACCTGTGGGGCAGGGATTAGATATTGCTCGTATAGGGGCTGATGCTGGAGTTGGGGGAGCCAAGCATATCGATTCTTTTTCGAGGCTAAAATTTGGTGATATTTTCAGCACTCTTGAATTTGGGGGCTCCTCCCTCTCTGTAGATTTTGATCGCTATTCGCTAACCAGGACGAGGTTGGCCTATTCGATTCAGTGTTTACGTATGAATTTATTTCCGCTAGCCGGTTAACAAATAGTCAATTATAAACTTTTTAATCAAAGATAAGACATAATTTCATCATGAAATGTAAATTTGAAAAATTATACTAATAGAAAATTAATATATGAAATTATAAAGTTTTAAATCTATAGAATTACATTATTAATAAAAGAAATATTTAAATCATACAAAAATTCAATTTTTCAAGCAGTAGTATATCCATGCTTGTTAACTCTAAATAGACGATTCCATCCCTCAAATAAAAAGATGTTTAATTATAATAAAATTTATAGTTACTAGCATTCGACTAAAGCATTCAGACTTTAAATTCTATTAAATTTTATCCCTTCTCTCCAAACTTGGTACACTATCCCACCCTGTTAAAGTCCAAAAATCTCGGAACAAGAAGAATCCTTTTCGCTCAATTAGTTAAAACACTTGGGCTTAACTCATAACCTCCTACTCCTAGATGTGATCTCCATCAGTTTAATTCTATGATAATTTTAGGACAAATGATCAATACACTCTAAATTTTATTAAAAATGAATTATACTTTTTTTATTAAAATTTATTGTACCTAATATTCACATCCATAACTTAAAACCTCCAGAGAAAGAACCTCTTTGTAAGAATACATAAAGAGAATGTCTATATCTGTAGAAAGACATAAAGAGAACGTCTTTGGAAGAATGATCTTGAATATCTAATACCCCTCGAGAAGCAGCAACATATTGACATGACCCCTACTTGACATATCAACGTTAAATTTACCACCAGCTAACCATATTCACCTAACCTACCACTCTACAAGTAGCCATAATAATCTTACGACTTACATTAACTCTAAAGGGTCTCTATAAAACTTTTCGATCAAGATCAAGAGAGATGCGGCCTAAATGAAATCACCTCACCATTATTGGTCTCTTCTCTACCTCCTTATGTAGACAAAACAGTTCAACACTCACTCAACGACAAATTTATCATTGACTACGCCTCTTCATCCAAACCAAAAGAGATAAACCGCTAACAACCAACACAACCCATTTAATCCTTCAACAAACTTATATTTATTTACTCAATAAAACTAATTACTTGTAAAAGAAACATCTAACTTGTTCCAAAAATTACAGAGCCAGATGGGAGTTACACATTGGTCACTAGGTCCAATAACTTATCTACAACTTAATTTGAGTAGGGCATAGCATATAAGTTAACCCCCCCTGTTTTCTTTAGACAAGCTCGAGAGCTTATCAAAGACAAGGAAAATTTAATTGTAACACCCCAACCCGTACCCGACCCAGATACGAGTCCGAGATGTCACATTGACTTTTTAAAACAATTTTCTTACAAAATAACAAAACATTTGAACATATTAAGAAAATACAATAATATACTATTAAATTATGTTCGTTATAAAATTTTAAGGCAAAAACGTATATATGAGTGATGGATTGAAATTGATTTAAATTATTATTTTTTATAATTATCTTGAGTTTTGGATTGAAATTGAATCCGAGTCTGGTTTAAATACAAATTAACCTATATTTATCCTAGTTATTTTTTCCATGAGAAGGAACATTTAGGCACGAATTTGACCGCAGAGTAATATACCTGTACACGTAAAATGAATATTCAGACAAATTTTGAGTAACAAACCTGTACGAGAGAATACAGGAGGCTTCCATATCTATAATTATAAGAAAGTTTATCCAAATTTCCTGGCTGTGGATGAGGATTTGACTTTTTTAGAACTCCTGCGAATCAAAACCAGGCTTTGATGAGAATTCAAGACCCTGAAGTGCTGGCATTCGTCGTAGATCCTCGTCTGAATAAGCTGGAATAAACCAGTATAGCTTGCCTGTTCCAAACACCTGCGTAAGCACAAGAACTTGTGTAACCAATGAGTGATGATGACAGTTGATATTTGCCAGAGAGACCTGTTATAAGAGCGCGAACTCTGATTTCAAATGTTACGGATTTCGACCATAACGGTCATCAAATGAACATTATATGAATTGTTCATTTATGCTATAAATGCATGTCAAAACAATAGGAAACAGCAAGGACTGCAAAAAACAGTTAACCTGTTCAAATTTTTCTTTCGGCCAAGGTCATAACGCCATTTTGGAGAGGTTTTCTTCTCATATGCCTGCTCAAAAAACCAAAGATTTTTTCAGTAAATCTATGTCTATTTATATTGCATTTTGATCCTAACGAGGGTGAATGAATACAACATATCTGGCCGGAAGATGGACATAAATTCTCACTAGGTTTTCAGTTGATGTGCCTTCTGTTGTGGTATATACATTTTGATTCACTCTTGGTATTATGGCATAGTACTAAACTATAATGACATGTCAACAAACAAAATTCAAGATGAACACAATACCTCGATAGTTGTGGTATTAGCAGACACCAAAGATGCATGCATGATCAAAAACCCCAAGACAGACAATGCAAACGCGAGATTCAAAACTGTGACAAGAGAAAATTGTCATATATTAGCGCATAGACATGGTCAACATAAACAAAAATAAAGTTAAATACGTCAGAAGAACACTGGCCAAGCAACCTACATACCAAAGGAAAGAAAAGTGGTAGCGAGGGTGCTAGGAGTTCCAGGAATTTCCTCATCACTGAAGAATGTGAGGAAATTAGACAATAAGGCCAACGTCACAAGACTTGTCTCGAGGAATGTGTAAAACTGCATTGAGGATTAAAATCAAAGTATAAAACTGCATTGAGGATTAAAATCAAAGTCCAATAAATGCCAAGAAAGCAGAAGCATTACTCCAGCAACATCTCATAAATGGACCTATGTTACAATAATCAATTCAGAGAGGTAAGACTGCGAGAGCGAAAAGCCGAAAAGAAATGCTCCACAAACTGAATTTATGCATTTGAAAATTGGAACTTCTATAAGATAAGACTAATATAGCACATAAGACCTAAATCTAAGATGAAAATAAAGGAGACGTACCAAGAAAAGAAGGAAATACTTGTAATTTTGTGCACCGACACAATTGACAACCCACACACAATGATGGTCCATCTTTAGCACACACCTCCCACCTAAAACAATGAAGTCGATATGAAAGTGATCATAAAAAATAACAGTATAATAAGCTGATCAAGAAAAGGAACGAAGAAATTTTGCATATGAAGAACGCACAAACAGAACAATGATGGCAGCGTGGAGGTTTCAGGTGGTTGCACTTCCGACAATATCGAATTCTTTGATTCGATGAGTCTGGCTGCAAACCATTGAACTCCGGATCATTCAACCGGTCAGTCTCCCCTCTTTCCTCATCCACGGCTGGCCTCCAGTTAGGTGGCACACTACCCGGATCAGTTAAAACAACAGAAAAGTAAACTCCACAACAGCAAAACCAACTGCAGAATCACATCAAAATTTCCACATTTAGAGTCAGTTTCCACCACACTTAAAATCATCAATTGTTTATATATATTCTTTTAGCAATTTGATTACATTAATCACAATTCCATAACCCAATTTATTATTTTAGCATCTAAAGTCATAAACTATGTCCGAAAAGGAGGCTTGTATTTTAACAATACTTCAGATATGCTCTTTTTCACTGACAAATAACAGATAGAAAGAACTATGAAATTTTAACCGAATCACAACACCGAAGAAAAAAAGGGAGAAAATTTAGATCAAGCACAAAACTCAAGCTTGGGTATCTTTAGATAAATTGGTTGAATTCAATTTAAATATGGAGATGATATTTAGCGAAATAGCAGACTAAAAAGATATGTTAAACCTGTAGGTACCAAACCCAGAAGCACAATATCTACAATCGAGCAAAACCACTCCAAAGAGAAAAAAAAAAACAGAGAAGAGAAGAGAAGAGAGTTAACCTTGGAGACCTACCAAGCAATGAAATAATATCAAAACAACAACAGACGCGAGGGACTGAAGGCCACCATCGAACAAAGCAGGGCCATAATTGGTCACAACGACAGAGTAATATGTGACACCCACGACCCCTAAAACCAACAGCATCATAATCGAGCCCAGACCCCTCAGAACCGTACAAAACTTGAATACGTTCCACGCCATTGTCGTTCCAGATCTATGCATAATACCCAGGTAATCAATAACAAAAAAGAGGCAGAAATTTGATATTTTTTTTCTTTCTGACAGTGCTAACAGTGTCACAAGTTGAGATAATTGAGAAGAGTCAATAAGAAAACAGGGATAACAGCAGAATAAGAACAAGGAGGAGTTGGGGGGGGGGGGTTCTGAGATAAAATAAGAAATCTAGGATTTATGGGATTCGGGAATCCAGGTAAGGAGTGGAATCCATGTTGCTAGACAAACCAGGGGGAGTCAGGGAGAGAATTATGTTTATTTTTATTTAATTTCCCGACTCAAACCCCAAACGGATTGGGGGTAAACGCGGCACAGTTGACTCAGTTGGCCGGAGGAAGTAAATTATGACTAAATTTTGGTTGAGTGAAAAATAGACGACAAAATGTTTTTACCGAATATATTAAAGATTTGATTTTACTATTATTAACGATAAATTATAAATATAACAAACGTTAACATAAAAGTACATATAATGATAAAGATTCGTTAATAAATTCATAATTAAATAAAAATCATTTAAAAACACAACATCAAATTCATCCTCTAAAAAATGTGTTACAATAATAATAAAGAATCTAATACAAAAACTAAATAAAATTATAGCTATTTTCATATGAAAAAGACAAAACAACCAAGCAGCATAAACACTAAAATCTCCAGAAGATAAATACAAAATTATTTGCTCCCAAGTTCAGTAGTAGTAGTAGCAGCTCTGGTTTCCGGTCACTTGACAGCGTCAGGTTGTTCTTCAGGGGACGACTCCAAGAATTCCGGTATCGCCTTCAAGGACTCGTATATCCTACTTAAACTAGGGAACTTGGACTGCATCAACAAAGCTTACACAATCATGTCAGGTAGCGAAAAGGAAACGACGACTATCATTCGCGTAAACTCGAACATGTTCATGTTTCGGTAATTGAAAATGCAATAGTGCTTCTAGTAAAATAACTTCTGAAAAATGGAGGAGCAAAAGAATGTGACATTTAAGTCTGATAACTCACAATCTAAGAAAAAAACAAAGGCAAGTTTACCATGTCGATCTTAAACCGTTCTGTAGCCATAGCAATCTGATGTGCCATAAATACATCAGCCTATGACAGAGATAAAAACAACTGCTTATGCTTGAACATCACACGAAGAAACGGGTTATAGTAACAAATAACCAGGAGAACAAATTCATATACAGTATGTTTCTCAAGACCGGTCATTCATCTTTTACTTATGCTTGAACATACCATGTATACTTCGTCTCCAGTGGCATATTTGCCAACAATATTTTTCAGCAACTTCTCAAGAGCTGCAATGCAAGCAAGCAAGCTGTATTAAGTAATGACTTCACAAACATCAACTATTCATTAGAGGTTTTGCATGTACACAAAACGACACGATCACACTAACACGAATGAAAGTTAAGGAGGGACTACATTACAATATTTAAGAATTAGACATCTGAAAACATTGAAATGTTAATCTCATGAACAGATTAATCACTTACCATGGAAACCTTTTTCGACATTAGTTTGAGCAAACAAAAGTTGTTCTTGCGGACCAACCTTTTCCCCGAGATATTTCTAAGAAATATGAAAGAGGGTAACATATTGGATTAAAACATTAGTACTTGAGCGCGAATAATTATACATATAACAGAATATACCGAAGTTGACAGCATATGAAGAGGTTGTATGCTAGAGCTGACGATGCTGGCAACCTGTGGATGATAAACTAGTCAGGAAACTAGCACAAGAAAGACACCAATTTCCCAATACAGGTTTCCAAATAATATAGCAGCCATTTTCCAAGAAACTTACCTGAAGATTCAGAGCTTTATGTTGGGGATTAGATGGTAAGAGAGATGGTAAGAGAGGTCTTCGAGGATATTTTTCTTCCAAATACTAGTAAACCAAGAATAGTACCAAATTAACAATTACTTCAGCTCAATTGACAATAACAACAAATTCAACGATAGAACAGCAGGATACATGATCTCGGCGGATCAGATTTTCACTAAAGTTTTGATTCAGGTCGGTGTCTGGGCGAATTACCTCTGGCCATCGTTGATTCCCTTTGTGCTAGACTTTGTTCGGTGTCCCGGAATCTATTGTGTTATGTGAATGATCCTTGCAGTTTTGGTGTCTGTCTTTCTGCTTGGACATGTTAATTATGTCTGGGTTTTAGAAGATATGGTTATGGTCTGCTAGGTGTTTTGTTTTTGTTTTGGTTTTGGATTTTGGTCTTGATCTGGTTTTGGTTATGTTTCTGGCCAAGTCTGCAGTTTTTAGTAACAGTTGTATTCATGGTTTGATGTACAGGCCTCGGTAGTTGAGTTGCACTAAGTGTAGAGGCAACATATGGTGTATTATTTGTTATAAACTGTCCTGTTGTACTATCCCAAAGATCACTCTTTTTCCTCCGAATAGGTTTAGGGAGGTTTTTTACCGAGGGTCTTGGGGTGGTGTACTTTGTTGTTTTCTCTTAATACAAAGTACCTCGTTTCAAAAAAAAAAAAGAAGAAGAAGCAGGATACATGAAAACCATAGCAAATTAAACCCTTTCATGGAACATCATCATGTCAAAGATAGTACAAGGGCCTGTGATTCCTAAACTTATACAGTGAAATCAATCGATCAGATCATTCCATATTCGATTTAGGAATACAAACCATCAAGATAGCATATGAGTCAGATATGAACACATCACCATCAGCAAGAACGGGAACGAAATGGAGAGGGTTCAACTTCTCAAACTCTGCAACACAATTTTATTAGACTTTCACTCTATAATATTGAAAGGGCTTATCTCAGTGTCTTCTTTGAGTTCACCTGGAGTAAACTGCTCCCCTTTTAAAAGGTTCACAGCTTTGTACTCGTATGAAATCCCTACAAGTCCGTAAAAACCCATAATCAAAGCAAACTCATGAAAACCAGTAAGTCCTTGTTTCAACAAAAAGATAAAATAAAATAAAAACGCTGATAATTCAGAAATGATCGGAAACATAGTAATTAATGAATTTGAAGAGAAACCCAATTAGAGAGAAATTAATAGGGATCAAGGGAAGGTGGTAACAGATAACAAACCTTTGAGGTTCAAAGCGAAGCGAACACGCCATGAGCATGAGCTCTGCCAGTATGAATACAAACCGAGCTTTGGACTATCTTTCTGCCAACAAAAAAAAAGTGAAAAATGAGAGTATAACTTGTAGAATTTGGGTATGGATTAAAAATAATAGTGTGCTCTAAAAATCTTACAGCTGCCATTGGGAGCTTAGTTCCAGAGTTCAGGCAGACTGGTAATTGTTGACAAGGCTTGTAATTGTATTAAAATTGGGCTAAAGCTGTTGACTGTTAGAGAAAGGAGACAATTGGGCTGTTAATAATTTAATTAGTTAGTTGAAGTTGGCTAGTAATTTGTTAGAAGTTAGTTGGGTCTCTTATAACTTGTTGATATTGGGCTATAGAAGCCATAAAATGTAAGGGGCTACACACAATCCATCAAACAAACATATAACTGCTGGTTTATCTACTCTATTGACTGTCGCGGTTTGACAATATTCCTTAATTAGGGAAGACATAATATTTTATGTTAGGATTGAAAAAAATTTAAGAATAGATGAATTTATAAAATTTAAGAAAATTAGATTTAAAAATAGAAAATACATTAAAAATTTTAAAATATGTAGTAATTTTAAATTTTCTAGAAATGACCCACACGCTTCCCATCCATCCCCTATAATCATGCAGAAATTTCATCATATTATCAGAGTATTATGATTCACCGTCGATGATCCTAGTAATTAAGATACTGACTACAAAGAATCCTCAATGACAAAACCTTTGTCGTTGCCCTCTTCACAAAATCTTAATCTCTTAACCGTTGAGAATTCTTTATCATTATTTTTCCGTTCGATTTCAATGATAATACCATAGATCGGTTCGACAGTTTGATCTGACATCGACGATCTAAATGATTCTGCCTCCACCATAAATTTTATCCCTGTCACTTATCTTCACTTAGTTTTTCAGTCATCATTTCAACATTGTTCCGTTCATTAGGTTCTTCAATCGTCAAGCGACGGTTCATCACCGTCAACATTGTCTGCCACTTTCGATTTAATCATGACGGTCTTATTTGTCCTGCCGTTCTCCGAAATTCAGCTGCACAACAATCGCACGACAACAAACTTCTTGTTTCTTCGACCACTAATCATTTCCATCATCGCTGATAATCTAGCATAATATGATTGCAATGTTGAATTAGTAAATTGGTCAAGTTAGTGATTGTTTGTGATGTTATTGGGAATAGATTGTTGATTAAGTTGATCACTAGCTACTGGTTATTGATGTTGCACAGTTATTGGCACACCGTGTGATTATTACCGATAATCTGGGAGTTGTTGGCTATTGTCTCGAATGTTGGTTTTGGTATGCAAATTATTCATTTGTTGATTTTTCAATGGTCTTGGTCACGGCTGTTTAAAAATAATCTTTTGTGGTACTTCTTCATCACCTGTAGCTTCTTTTTAAGGTGTAACATGAAAATTTGAACGCTTAACAACCAAGTATTCATGGCAGAAAATTCTGAAATGATGAGAGTTAACAGTCTAGCTCTTCATTAACAAGATAAATTAGGGTGTCTTTTTGTCCAAAATAAATTCTAGATTGTGTATGGAAACTTGTAACTCGATGTCTTTGCTTTCACCAGAAAAAGAAAGTCCCAGAGTATGAAACAACGAAGATAAAGAAGAAAAATGACACTTGAAGACAAAAGAGAAGCTGAAAAAATGTTTGAAGATAGAGGGAGAAAAACTGTTCAGTAAAAGTATCTTTGATCCAATTCAACTGAGAATTTTTTTTGGAAATATTCTTTTTAAGCTGAATGGGTGTCCAAGAGGAAAAATTATTTGTTATTGACATTGCTATCTTATGCAAAATCTTTAATTTACATGAATTGAGAGGCTAGATCAAATACACCATGTTTCCTATTGTACTATAAATCAATTAAATAATGGACTCAGTTGCGTCAATAATGTTTCTTATTTACTTAATCCATATAATGACAAAGAAATTATATATGTAGTAGGAATAAAGGTGACAGTGACAAGATGTTCGATATAATGACAAAGAAATTATATATGTAGTAGGAATAAAGGTGATAGTTTCATCAGATTCCAGAATCAATAGTGACTATCCGGGACAAAACACATTATAAAAGTTAACAGCAATAACAAGTTTTAGTTGGAAGTAGAAAGCTGGAATCGTATACCGGGTAGATACCTTGAGACACAATCCCGGTCTAAAGATTGAAGCTCCTCCTCGTCTATTCCCTTCTCAAAGTGATTTAGAGAACTTGCAAGTTCGATTGAAGGCTGATGCAGTTGTGTGGGATCCAAGACGATGGACGTGTTAGAATAACGTACCATGTCGGGCCCTATTTCCAATGAATAATGAACGTTGGTGGGTGACTGGCATTCGACTTTAGGTGGCGGCATTTGAGTGAGACGCTGCAATGAAGAAACACGGGCCTGCACGTAGGCTACCTCTGCTTGTAAATTCACTACCTACAATATGATGAATTCATTAATACTACATCTTACCAATACAAGGGTTCATACATGTAAAGTGCTTCCAAGTTTACCCGCAGTTGAAACGCAGAAACCAGGTTGAAAATAAGATTAACATAATGTAAGGTTGAGGTTACATAACCGAGGCAAAGTGATTCATCGATTATACAATAAAAAAACCACCCATCAATTCTCTAGTATCTCAATTATACATTATAACGTTGCTCATAAGATTACTAAATTTTCTAGTCTTCTAGGCAATTTCTTACATAGATAAGACAAATGTTAAGAGAATGGATTAATAAAGTCAAAATTAAAATACTTGGAATATTTCTCGAGTTGCTAAATTTGCTTGCAGGCTCCGGCAAGCAACCAGACCACTTACTCAGCGCTCCTCTCAGATCTCTCTTGGAGAACGGTAAAATAGTATGAATTTTGCCATTTCAATTTTTTTTTAAAAACCTAATGGTTAGCCAAGGAAAAAAAACATACATTTCCAACTAGTATGTAGCTTGAGTTTCCCATGTAATGTTCTTGAAATGCATGTGAAAGCCTTTGACTCACCTTGAGAGATTGCTTCCACCATATATATAATACAACAAAGTATAGTGCTTCATTGTCAAACTTTTACCGGACGGTAACCGTTCAAGGCACACGTTTGCATGAAAACTTGGAATTTTAACTAAGATTTAGCCTTTTCTTTAAAGGGTTTCGAGGTGCTATGAAAATCTGGTTACTCATCCAAATATGGCTGTAGATTTTACTTATAGTTGATTAGGCTAGTAGTTATGGACCACAAAGCTTACTTACACATTTATAATTGAGAAAAAAGTTTGTAACTCTGTTGCATGTAGAAGAAAATACATGAAATGAAACTCTTAATATTTATGTTTGGCAAATTGAAGGTTCTTTTTCTCTTGTTTTCTAATGATAATAAACAGATCCCTAATCTATCTTCACTTAAATCTAATTGTTTGACTGCATGCATGAATGAACTAAGGAAAATGTTTGCCATTGTCTTGAATGAATTTATCAGTTCTTCCTTATACTAACAAGCCGCCGCCTCACCTTTAAAGCAGCAAGTGCGGAAGAAAAGAGAAGAGTGACCTACCTGTTTTTTGGAGGGTAAGATTTGGCCGGCACAACCATAAACAGGGTCTTTAACCCTAGCCAAAGCCTCATAACAAAGTGAAAAATAGCATCAACACGCCTGTGCCGGTACTCCCTGCAGCAACTTGGAAGCATTACTTGCACCAAAAACCTTGTGTACTGCAGCAAAGTGAACCGTGCCTTGGTCCGGATCAAAATATGGTGCAAATATGCATCCTTTCACGCACTTCCGGCGGAGGAATTTGCAGCCACAAGGCCCACCTCCTTTATTGCTGAACTCATATCTGATACCTTTTCTTTGCTTTTTAGAAACAAAGGAAATAATATTCTCAGGGATCCGAGCAAGAGAAAGGAAGTGGTGGATAATAAGGGGTATTTAGAGAGAAAAACTGGGTTGGTTTGTTACCGGTTCTGTTGGTGACCGTGGGGTCAGGCAAGAAAAGACTGCAAGAAAAGACTGATTTTAAATTATATATCATCTGTCCATTTTTAGTGGCAGTCAGTCTCAGTCAATCTGCGTTCAACTCTCTGTGTTTCTCTCCCAACAGCTGCAGTTGTAGACACGTGCAAGCCCTACGTCGGACAACAAATATCTTCCAATCCATCATCTTTCTCTTGTCCCTCCACTTTCAGCTTTTCTTCTCGGCCCCCACAAAGATCAGATCAGATCATTGATCTGCTGGTTTTACCCCCACGCCGTTCCCTTCTCCCTCTTCTTCTTCACCTTGCTTTCTTTATTCTCCTGTTTTCACCTTTGTTTATCTGTCTTAAAAAAGATGCGAGTTTATAGGCATTTTTTAATATTTATTGAAAAATTATAGCGATTTTGTTTCAGTTTTTAATCTATAATAGTCTCGAGTTAGATAGCCGAAATTAAGAATAAATAAATTTGATTATGTTTAAATAAAATTATTTTTAAAATATAAATATATAATTAAATTAACTTTCAGTTTAAAATAAAATTTTGAATTTGAATCGGTAGACGGAATCAGCCTAATAACCCAGGCGAAATAATTTTGCGTTTATAGGACGGTCCATAAGTTAATTGATAATTGATACAATGATTCAGAATTCGTCACGTGGAGTGACAAATTTTTTTAAAATATTTGTTAACAATTTTTAAAACTAGTCATCTCACGTGACGATTTTAATATAAATTTTTTTGAAACACGTCATTAGTTCGTCCTCCATCTTAATAAATATCATAGATCCTAAAATAATTTTAGGTTGTTTTATTGAATTAAATATTTTTTCCCTGAATCATTATTGTTTCAATCTGAAAAGTGAATAATTAGAAAATCAAAAGAATAAATGAAATTTAAGTAATAAAATATCTTTATATTTGATTTAATCAACTCGGTCGAATACTCATCTTTACGTAATCGTTCATGTTATTTTCCATATAAAAATATTTTTTTAATATTTTAATGAAAGTTCCCACCATGAAAAAATTACATGTTTATACTTGGTATGCGGTTGGATTCATTGCCTGATCCGAGTGTTTGTGGGCTTCGAACCAGGATGTTGTTGCCTTTTTTGGGCCCTATTTTTCTACTCTGCACATTCAACTCTTGTTTGAAGTTCTCTAGACACGAAGAAAACTAATGTGTTGTAATTGTAGCATACCCAAGTCATGTATTCTACCGGCGCATTTGTTGTAATTTTAATAATAAGATTCAGAGAGTAGCCAATTGGAACAATAAACTAAAAATTTCATTTGCTCTCATCCAAAGCTTAATCGAGGAAGAATAACTGATCACTGCAAACATGTCAAACTAAGCCAAGCAACCGGCCATGATACTATGGGCATCATGGTGCAACTTTAAGTGTAGGGTCAAACCCATTGTTTATAAATTACAAACTTAATACATCAAATCACAACACTATATCATTCTGAACCGGTCGTCCTTCTTAAAATGAACTATTAGACTTTGGTCAGCACTACTCATCACACTGTACATACATTCAATTTTTTCCAATCGGGACCATTAATCAAAGTCGTTAGTTTCTTCTCTTTGTGAGTGATTACATCGTTAAACGATTACTTATAAATTTTCAGGTCATAATAATTGTATGCAACGATTGTTATTAATTAAACTAATATAAGTGGTGAAGAGAGAAAAATAGTGCCGAAAAACTGTCAAATTGTGGAGCCGCGCCGCTCGCCGGTTGTTTGGTGCGTACGTGGGACGCTTAAGTAACCAAAGGGTGAAAATTTGATGCCTCCTCCGCCTCCCATCTCTTCAATTATTTTCACTACTATTTTTATTGGATAAACTACACACGTGATCACTAAAATTTCATTCGATTTTTAATTTAATTATCAAAGCATTTATTAACGTATCACGGAATCAAACATGTTTCTTTTCCGCCATTAAGCAGCCCTAATAGAGGTAAGGTTGAAAACATGGTTTTTAGAACCGGACCGGTTAGCGAACCGGTCATGCTATCGGTTCACTGGTTCAATCGGTCGAATCGATCCGACCGGTCGGAAGAACCGAACGACGTCATAATTATTTAAAAAATTAAATAAAAATACCAAAAATATTTAATAAAAAATAATTTTTTATATCACAAGTCATATTCAAAGCAAGTCATAACATATATAAGTTAAAAACCATAAAATCAAGTGAAACAAAATGATTCAAATTAACTACAACATAATATTTAAGGTAAAACATATTAAACAATAAATATAATTTATATAACTATAATTAAAAAATAAATTTGGGGCTAAAAAATCATAACAAAATTATATAACTATAATTATATAACTATTATTTCACTTCAATCAAGCTCGAATTTTAGACTTCAATCGAGCTTCTAATTTTTTTTTTGAGTTCAAGCCTTTATGAGTTCAAGTTTCAATATTATATTTCGAGTTTAAGTTGAACTTGATAATTTTTAGCTTATGAGTTTGAGTTGAGTTGAGTTAATTTTAAAGTTTTCAAGTTCGAGTCGAGCTCGCAATACTCGAGTTCGACTTGGCTCGTTTAACAAACGACGTTGTTTGGTTTAATTTTTTTTTTTTAAAAAACAAAAATCCCGGTTTTTCCCGATTTTTTTCGGTTTTCAGCCGGTCCGGTTCGAACGGTTCAACGGTTTTGGCCGGTTCACTAATAACGGTTCAACCGATTTAGATTGAACCGGATTAAACAACGATTTTCGGTTAAACCGATTGAACCGACCGATCCGGTCCAATTTTCAAAACAGAGGTTGAAAATGGTCAGAAGATTACTACGCATTAGCCTTGTGGCAATAAGACCAATAACATTATGATGGAAAATATTAGTTTAGATATGGATTTTAATATAAAATGTTAATTCAGATTTGACTTCAGAGGTAACTAAAACATGTGGTATACTTGTAACCAATTAAGGAACCACTTATTAATCTTTAAGCTGGACACTGGCTTTACAATTTGTCAGCTTCCTTATTTGAGATTGTTTACAAGAAGTTGCCCAGGTTGTCAATATTGAAAAATTAGATAGTTGAGTCTAAGAAATGCCCCAAAAGGGTATTCCTAAAGATCTCTGAAAAGTAGGACCAGATTTGCTGCCCTCAACATTGTTTAATGATTAAATTACCCTTTCAGAGAAAAGCTAAGCTTGTGGAGTACTAGCTAGATAATCTGCAGCACGGAGTACCAAAATATATATTATAATTACATGCATGAGAGTGACTGCTTCATATTCTGGGAATTGGTGCAAAGGACTGAATGATTGCCGCTTTTACAACTGCAGCGGTGCAGGCATGATAGTAATGTTCACACACCAATATGGCATCATTGCAGCTAAATATTTATATACAATCATCACGATTTCAATTAATTAGTTTGACTACCACTTTAGTTCCTAAAACAAATTATAAATCTATTATTAGTATAAGTTGGACTTGGAAACATCTTTGCCGTATCATAAGCGACATCCCGTAATTTTATAATAATTTTGTGGGTAATAAAATTGGTAAAGCAGATGATAAATAAGTCCGATTCATCTTCCTTTTGGCTGCACGAGTGGGGAAAACCTGGGACTTTCAGTTTTTCTTCATGGTGTAATATAAAATATTATTGAGCTCTGATTAGACTGTATGTGTTAGTTAAAGCGAAGACAAACCTAATAACAAACTCAAATGCTCCTACTTATTAACACGTTAATCTGACAATTATTCAACGTTAAAGTGTGTTTGCCATGCAGAACCGACGATGTCATATTAGGACATAACATAAGGAGGACTTCCCAAAATTTGTGGGAACCTTGTTACTCGAACTTCCAACATCTTAAATCAAAATAATAATAATAATAATAATAATAAACTCAACTCCCTTGTGGTAAAGTAATATGCTGATTATCATTGTACCGACGAGAGGAAGTTCAATGTCCTTCAACGCACCATGTGGCCCATCATCTTGTTGCCTTGGTTGCTCAGCGAGGCTTTTGTCTTCTTCCATCGGTTAAAAAGTCTTCTTCGTTGGATCCATCCCAATGTCCTTTCCCTTGGTTGATCACCAATATCCTCTTGCATGCTTTAGTCGTCCGCAGCTTACTAGGGTTTCCGTTTTCTTAATATTTATAATTAAATGAATATATTTGTTCGATAAACAAATACATATAGGATCCAATTAATCATTAATCGTGACAAATTTCGTTAACAAGTACGAATCATTGGATTTAATCCAACTTTGCGACTTGAATGGATGAAACGGGGAATACGAAAGGACAAATGTATGAGGTAGACATGAGGCAACACAAGCTACTACACTATACTAGGATTCAATTCAGAATTGCAGATGTTGTTCTTTCTCATGTGGAATTGTTCCAACGTCATCACTCAGTCATCGAACTCGCACCTTTATTGCCACGTGTCTCAATATTATTTCTTCTTACAGGATTTTAATTTCTGTCAATGCTTCCCATTCACACCACACGGATTAGACAATCGCCGGACGGCGCGGTGACAACTCCGTTATTACCGTTCTTTCTTTATACATAATGTTTTGTATTTTTCATCGCTTAAACTTTTAAACTACTCCAATCTTGAGAGGAAAAACGCTGTTTGTTATATATCGTAATCAATATATAACTTGACGAACGTTACTTCACATTACGCGTGGATCCCACTTGGATAAAATGAGGTCATGGTTTTACCAGGACGCTACGTTCTTCGTCAAAGAGTCATACGTGGATGCTGCGCATTCGAATGGCTCAATGTTGCTGCTTTGAAAGCCGAATCATGTTTTGACCTTCATTTTATATTATATGTAGATGAATTAAAATATTATTTTCATCGTATTCTATTAAAAGTTTAATCGCCTCAGTGACCAAAAAAAAGTTATAATATACGATTTTAACCAACTTTTTTTGGATTTGCCAAAATGACCAACAAAATCGCAACGCGAAATAAAAATCGCAACGCGATCCCCAGAATCGCAAATCAGTTTCCAGAATCGCAACGCGATTCTTGAAAATCGCGATGCGATAGTACAAATTCGCATTGCGATTTTCCATAATCGCAACGCGAATATGAAAATCGCAACGCGAACACATAAATCGCAACGCGTATCCGTAAATCGCAACGTGTATCCGTAAATCGCAACGCGTATGGGTAAATCGCAATGCGTATCCGTATATCGCAACGCGTATCCGTAAATCGCAACGCGTATCCGTAAACCGCAACGTGTATCCGTAAATCGCAACGCGTATCCGTAAATCGCAATGCGTATCCGTAAATCGCAACGCGTATCCGTAAATCGCAACGATAATCCGTAAATCGCAACGCGTATCCGTAAATCGCAACGATAATCCGTAAATCGCAACGAGAATCTGTAAATCGCAACGATAATCCGTAAATCGCAACGAGAATCTGTAAATCACAACACTGAAATTTTGGGTATATAACACTGAAATCATAAACTAAATCCCTAAATCGCAACTCATTCCATCTCCATCTATCACTCTCTCCGGCGACATCCGTTCCTATATCCAACGACATCCTTCCCCATCCGGCAACAGGTCTTAGTTTCGCATCTCGTTGTTTAGTTACAACCATGAAATCATCTAATGTTGATCATGTTTGGATAGATTTGTGTTTTGGAGGGTCATGGGATAATGTTAATGGTGTTTTACAATATATGCCTTTACCCATAAATCTTCACTAAAATTGTCTTTACAAAAGTTAACTTATGAAACTCTAATGCTACGTGTTTCAAATAAATTGAATTTAGAGCCCCTAAGTGGATTTAGGCTATCTTATCAGAGAAATGGTAAAGTTTATTTGTTAACCGACAATGAAGATGTTGAACGATTCATTGCTTACATTAGTGTTTCACAAGATGATGTTACATTGTATGTTGTTGAACCTAGAAGTAGTATTGTGGGTCAGTAGCGGGTAGTAATCAACTAAGTTTTTCTCAAAACCCACAACCTTTCTCTAATCCAAATCCCAATCAACTTTCAGCACCAAATTCCGGTTTTCGTATTGACCAGTTAGACGATGATGAGCCAACAGAAAAAATTGTGAGTACTAGTCAGTATTCGAAATTTGGTCTTGGTCAATATCCGGACTTTGATATTGGTCAATACACGGATTTTGATGATGTTTCAGAAGAAGAAACAGACCATGCGTGTAATGATATTGATATTGGTCAATACCCGAATTTTGATGATGAAACAGCGTTGCCGAAGAATGTAATGTTGATGATAATGAGGAGGAAGTTACGACTGTGAATGAACATGTTGAACATCCATTCTGTAATTCATATAATCCTGAAGAAGAAAAGAAGAAGAAAAAGTCCCCGAAGAAAAGAAAATGCCACGGGCGTATAACTGGAATATGCCAGAATTACTTCAGATACCGGAAGAAGAGTTGATAAAGAAAGCAGTTGATTGTTACACAAAAGTTATTCGTATCAAGAAAGATGATTGTTTTGATACAAAGGAAGACTTGAAGATAGCTTATATACGAAATGTGTGGAAGATGGCTATCAACTAAAAGTTAACAAATCAAGCAAAGATCGTTTCGAAACAAGGTGTATGATTGACAAAAACTGTACGTGGCGTATGATTGCAAAGAGAATAAAAGATTGCAAAATGTTTCAAGTTAGGACTTTTATTGATAAACATACATGTTCAAGAACCCAAGTTTTTCCTCACCATAGACAGGCAAACAAAAAGGTGTTGGGTGGTTTTCTGGCTGAGTTAATGTTTTTGAATGGCAGGGTATATCGGGGACATGAAATTATGACTGACATGAATGCTCGGTTCAAGATTAGTATATCATATTCTCAAGCTTGGAGAGCCAAATGTTATGCCTTGGAATTGTTGAGGGGGTCGCCAGAAGCATCGTTTGCCCAACTGCCGGCTTATTGTCACAATTTAAAGCTGAAAAATCCTGGGTCGGTAACTCATATCAAAACAGATAGAGATGGACGCTTTGAGTTGCTGTTTATCGCCATTGGTGCTACGGTTAGTAAATCAATATAATTTTGTTGACTCATTTTTGTTAGTTACATGCATTTCACATTTAAATGATTATATTTCTTGTGTATATTATTTTGTAGATTCGTTCGTTTATTACTTGCATGCGCCCAGTTATTATAGTTGACGGAGCACATTTGAAAGGTCGATACCTTGGAGTAAACTTATTAGCAGTAGCCATGGATGCTAACAATGGGATATTGCCAATAGCTTACGGGGTTGGCAAATCTGAAACCTCTGATTCATGGACATGGTTTATGGGGCATCTTAGGGATTGCATAGGTCCTATTAGCAATCTGACAATCATATCCGATAGGGCAAACTCAATTGACAACGCTGTTAGAAGGTGTTTCCCAGATGCTTTTCATGGACTTTGTGGTGTTCATTTGTATAGAAATCTAAAATCAAGGTCTGCTGGTATAAAAAGCACAAATGGACATACTGGAAGGCTGTAAAAGCTTATCGGGAAGTGGATTTCAATAAGCATATAAATTGTTTAAGACGTGTTTTGCCTCAGTGTGCTCAAACACTAAAAGATGTCGGGTTTGAAAGATGGTCAAGAGTACATCAACTTGGAGCAAGATATGGTTTCATGACGTCTAATAGTGCAGAATCAATCAACGCTCTAA